ATATATATATATATATATAATATATAAGTTGCAGATTGTCCCAGTGTTATGTGTTTGCTGTTAAATGGGCAGCATCAGTTTACGTTTGTGATATTTAGCAGTTCTTGCACCTGCGGCAAAGTTCTTAAGAAGATGATTTAATCCAACATTAAAGTAGCCAATGATTGATGAAAACATCACTAATAAACAAAACAGCTGCAGGAAGTTTGCTGGTTATGCTCAGAATCCTGGAAAGCATGAAAAACCTTCTTTAAAAAAAAAAGTTTGTATTTTAAACGTGCAGCTGAAAACATCCTTCAGGTGCTGACATAAACTCATCTTCATGTGAACTCTCCTCCTTCACCCGTTTTCTCTTCACAACACCCTCATCACCACCATTTCTACCAAAAGTGCAGAAAAAAGCCTCTTCTCCTTCCCTTTTCCTCCCTCTTCCCTTAAAAAAAAAAAGAGAAGTGGTTGAAATTAAAGGCTTGTTGGTGTGTATTTTTACTCCAGTGGGAGTCTTTGGCTCTGACTGGGGAAAGAGCAGACATGCGGGTTTCGGGGAGGCTGCTGCAGACTGTTCTCACGGCTCAGATTAGAGATGGAGGAAAAACATCTCCATGAGAACCACGCCGCTCGGACATTTATTTACACGCCACAATAGCCTTTTGCAAAAAAAAAAAAAAAAAAAGACAGAAAAATGTGCAGACTTCTGATTCGGTAACTCATCTTAAACACGCAGACGAGCTGAAACAAATCAGGAAGAAAACAACAAGTAAACGGTTTTAATCCAATACTCTGATATGATGCAGCTGTTTTATTTACAAGCTGGATAAATTAGGTCTATATGACAATATCAGAAGTGATAAACTCAAATTTAACTCAATCCTGTCTTCGTGTTTTGTCACTTTAACTAAATAAAGTGTGGGCATCAAGAGCGTGGAGTCCATCTGAGTAACGGGAAGATGTTAGGATGTAAATGGATGATTTATTACACTTCTTTATGCGACGATGCTATATTTTCTGTACACTGTGTCGTCTGTTTTTCAGTTCAAACATTATAGCAGTGACCTGCAGTGACAGTAAAGCGAGAGAAAGAGGGAATAAATGAAAAGTAAACAGACAGAGAGTGACAGACAGGTGCTGTTTGCAGGTTATCGCTGGACTGGAGGAACAGGCATGTATTAATGCTGCTCTGTGGTCCAGACTCCGCAGCATCACTTCCAGGGGCCATCTGCCCAGCCACCAGCCTGCCTCACACCTGTTCTCCCTCCTCCTCCTCCTCCTCCAGCTCTGAGGCTGTAGGGTCAAACGCATCAGACCACTGCTCACACACATGGACGGCCTTGCAAAAAAAAAAAAAAAAGAACGATGGCAGCCATTTTATTCTCACCTTCACACACACAGAGGCATAAACACAAACCCTCCTCGGCAGATTATGATGCTGCAAAAAAATAACAAAATAAAAGGCTATGTGTTTGGCCTGCGCACTCGCTCAGTCTGTTGTGCAGATGACACACTCACCCACACTCACTTTGCTCGGATTATTCCCTCCCACCCTCCTTTGAGCGCTTTCTGATGTTAACCACAGCTAATAGATTTCTAGTGGTTTATACTGAATCCAAACAGCTTTCAGATCACAGCAACAAACCATGAATTGCTATTATTTCTAGAGGAAAACACACACACATATGCACATTTTCCCTCCAGCATCGAGTCGCATTGAATCCTCAGCGCTTGTGATGTAATTACAAAGCACTTCTTTTAAGTGTGACACGCTGTCGTTTGGACGCGGTCCAGGTCTGCTGGATGGTGAATATAAGCGATGTTGACTCAGTTCATCTTGAAGCCTGGGTGTATTTCTGCATCAGCTGTCGTTACGTTGCACGTGTTCCTGCATCGTTTCAGCAGCTTGCAAAACCAGAAAAGGACTTTTTTTTTTGGCTTTTTGGTCGATTTTCCGGCTCTACTGTGCAGAAACTCAAGGTTCAAATCTGTAGACTGATGAGGATTTTCTATTAAAATGTTGCACGATGTGTCTTTGCTTGAAAATCTCACATTAGTTGGTCAATTTAAACCCAAGCTGTGATATGTGTTATCCTCTCAGTGTATAAGGAGCAGTGCAGAGTCGGGAGCAAACGTCAGCTAAAATCAGTGTTCAATGCACTGCATCTAGATGTATAGATCTGTTCTGATTATTCAGAGCCGTCTGTTACCAAGTCCCACAGCGCATTAGAGATGAAATCACGCTGTGTTAGTGCGCACGCACACACTCACGCCATTGTAGATCGATAAGTCTATTGATGGTTATCAGCGAGAGGGCAGTTCCCCCTCACAGCTTATTGAATTTCATCACCCATGAAAGAGCAGTGGTGGGTTAAGGGGGAGAGGGGGGAGACAATGAAGTTCGCCTGTGCGTGAACATGTTTGGGGAACAGGGAGCGTGCACATCCTCACAAGAAGTCGTTCTTTTATTGTGGCTGTAAGTTGGCCTTTTATGGGATCTTATTTAATGTCAGAGCCAGCGGTGAGCGCTACAAACTGATTTTATTGGCCTTGTTCGGGTTTTTTACACCGGAGCGCACAAGACTCGCAGGGGGGGGAGAAGAAGAGGCCAGACCAAATGAGAGAAATGTAAAAAGTGGGAAATCGTGCTTGTAAAACCATATATTTTCTTTGGGGTTGTAACAGCACCGCAGCTGCACAAACAGCGCCATTAAAGACCGACAGCTGGGAGATGTAGGATTTTTTTTAGCTGTTTAGCTACATGGTGCGACTATGAGTTGTTAGTGCAGTTTTACGCCAATGCAAGAGTTGGGGGTTTGATTCCACCAGCAGTCACATGTCTAGATGTCTCTAGGCAAGACAATGAACCCCTCATTGCCTTTGATGTGTGTCCCATCAGTGCATGAATGTGATAAAGCACTGATTCTTTGTAGAGATCTAGTAGAGTGCTGTATGAATGGATAAATTAGGGCTCAGATTGTAGTGTAAAGCGCTTTGAGTATCTTCACAAGATAGAAAAGCGCTATATAAGTACAGTCCATTTACCATTTACTATATATTTTAACAGCTCAGGGCTTTAATACACAAAGATGGACATGTGCAGGACAGTATTGTCTCACATTCACTTCTCAGTGCATCCTCCATGTATGGACCGGGACTGAGTTGCTAATTAACTTTACTTTTTCTAACTGTATCGCACTTAAGCAGACCACAGCGCTCACTTGCGCACATGCAAACACACAAGCGCACACATACAGAATCTCTCTCTTAGCCTCCCTCTCACGATGTCTGTCCCCGAGCTCCCTCGCTTTCTCATTCACTGTTTATTTTCCTGCCTCCATCTGGAGTCGGCTGATATTGTAATCGCCCTAATGCACATTGCCTTCCACGCACACACTCACACACACACACCCAGACTCTTTCTTTCTCTCTCACACACACACACAAACACACAATCACATCCAGTGGCTTATCTCCTAGAATAAGAAAAAAGCTTGTCTGGGTGGTACATTGTATGGCTGTGTGTGTGTGTGTATGTGTGTGTGAGTGTGATTAAGTGCTCGTCCAGGTGTTTGTACAGTATAGCTCATGAATGCAAAAGGACACACACACACACATAGAGTGTGTTTGTCCCAGCCAGAGGTGATGATACTGAATAGGAGCTTCATGGTGATGTGAGGCGGCGATAATGCGTCTGAGTGAAGATGTTACCCCGTTATCGCTCAGCTCCTCAATATTCACCTGTCCACATTTAAAGATTAACCGCAGGAAGGGAGAGAGATTCAGGGGCGGTAGAGAGAAAAATGTGTCTGTTTGTGTTTGTATGTTTTCTATGAGGCCGGTTTGAAAATAAAAGCATACCATATGTCTTTGTTGGTGCATGTGGAAGGAGATTGCTGTGCTGCCGTCTCTAATGGACTTTGTTTAGCGATTCAGCTGAGGTGTAAGAGGTTAGAAAGGTGGGAACGCTCACACAAATGCCAAGGACACACAGACGGGCTTGATTGATGGGAGGCAGGAGCTGTGAAAATGTGCGATTCGGAGCCGTTTTTTTCCGTTTACCTCGTTCTTGAAAGAACAATGGCTGAAGAATGGACAGGCTTGCTTTGCCACCGCTTCATAAAACCTGGTTTTAAAAGTCGCTTTTCTGGCTTTGTGCAAATGTGTGAGAGGTGGAGGGGTGAGCAAAGACCGATCACTATTAAAACTCACCAAACTGGAGAAAAACAGATAAATGACAAATATACAAACTGAGGTAACAATCTCAGCCATCGTGCTGTACATGCTCAGTGGCTTTCCTATAAAAACCCAACCTCGTCAAGATTAACCTTCAAAAGCGCACATAAATAATCATCTTTTAAGTGATCTCTTTTTGTTTTGCATACAAACATCATGTGCAGCCTCCATCTCCCCTTGTCGTCTTGGATATTCGA